CGCATTTTTTTTAAGGGTTACTGGTGGCCCCTTCCAGTTTCACCAGAACAGGTGGGCGAGCAAAGGCTCAGCCAAGAGTGGTGGGATTAGCTAACAGCTGCTCGAGCGCCTCCGAAGCAAGCCTAACAACTCGAGAGCAGCTGCTTCGCGGATGAATTTACTACCGGATCGGAATCGCGACCCGTTGAGAAGATCCGGCGAGAAACTCAGCGGGCATGCACTCAGCATGCGTCATCACATGATAAGCCTAGAGGACTTGCTGCGTCAACCCTCCAATGGGATAAGGACAAGAAGAAGAACATTATTTCCGACGTTTCGAATAATTTCCAGGTTTCGTGGTCACGTACGACTGACCTTTAAAGTAGTTATAGTAATCTTAATTATATGTACGATTGACGAAGACCAAAGAAAACGCAATAATGAATGTGCTCTCTCGCTTGCTTGATAGCTTATATTAGAAGCCGTTATGCTGCTCTTTATATCCACGATATTCTAGATTTATTAGAATGAACGCTGATTGGTGGATCTGATGAGTAACAGAGCGGCCGGTATCCCGGTAGAATACGCCCAACCACCAGAATTTTGCAACAAAAGCGGCTTAAAGATATCCGTGATTTTTCTTTTCATGTCTCAAGCTGTTAGTTGGGTCTGAAATACTATACATCTACCTATGCGTTTTTTTTTTATTGCCCGTGTAGGCGTACGAACATACGGTCCACCTGATGGTGAGTGGTTACCGTCGCCCATAGACTTCAACAATGCCAGGGGGAGAGCCAAGCCGCTGCCTACCGTTAAGTATAGTATAGTATAATGTAATATTAAAAAATTAATAAATAACAATTTATTAAAAAAAAAAAAAACATGCCCGCTGAGTTTCTTGCCAATTCTTCTCAGGACGGAGGCTAATTCTTGTGAATTGGCGGTAGTTCTTTTGACGTTCAACAAGTATGTACTTTCATTTATGTTGAATAAAATTTTTTTTATTTGATTTGATTTGATTTGATTTGAGTATAGTATAGTATAGTATAGTATAGTATAGTATAGTATAGTATAGTATAGTATAGTATAGTATAGTATAGTATAGTATAGTATAGTATAGTATAGTATAGTATAGTATAGTATAGTATAGTATAGTATAGTATAGTATAGTATAGTATAGTATAGTATAGTAATGGTTTTCCCCAAAATAAAGTTCGACAACTGAACACAGCTGTTCATAGCTGACTTTATTGCCAATTTAAGCGATCTCTTCTACAAAGCCGATTTAAAAAAACATCACATGGAAAAATACTAGTCACGGAATGATAAAAAATTTATATAATTCACAAGCCGTAGAGAGCCGGAGAGGCTTATTTAGTACAGCAGCGGAAGACTGGGCTGATGATGGTGATGATGAAGACAAAAAATCGATACCGGGCACGAACTTGAGAAATGAAGAACACGACCAAAATGAGAATATTAAACAATAATAAACAATACAGTAGCGGCTCGTGAAGTTAAGTAATTCTGTTACGTAACTTACGTTTCACGGTTAATTTAACTTAATGTTAAACTTGTAGTTGTAATGTTGCTTTATAATTGTTGTTACATTATACGTTTTTATAAAAGAGAATAAATGCGCTTGGCCCAGCGATATTGTGTTTCTTTTTTGGTATGGGCTTTTAAGCCATTCATCCCATTGGCTTGAAAGCTCTTTGTTTCACAAGGGTGGGTGGGCGAGTTTGAGATTTTAACTGGGAGATGGAAGGGAGTTTGTTGCATCTGTAATATAACTACATAGGTGCACAGGTAACCTACATTACGATAAGTATATTGTAATACAATAAATAACATAATATTTCATACACCAATATTAGGTATATTGATGTATGAAATATTATGTCCATGTTAGAGATTTTATTCATGTTATCGATAGGGCGGTTGGCAGTCCGCAGCCTGCCTTGCCGTCGGGTGCTTGTCGCTTTAACCCGCTTTTGTGGTTAAGGACCCATCGCTTGCGACGAAAGGCTCCACGAGCGAATTAACCCACAGACACAGCCCACTGAGTTTCTCTCCGGATCTTTTCAGTGGGTCGCGTTTCCGATCCGGTGATAGATTCTGCGAAGCACGGCCCTTGTTAGGGTTCGTGTTAGCAACATCGTCAGTTTTGAGCCCCGTGAGCTCACCTACTAGTAAGGTTACGCTGATATGGTCTCTCTAGACCATCAGCTTAGGTAGGAAAAAAAAAGTTGATCGATTCGGAAGACTTCACGTGAAGTCTTAAATAGGGTATCTCAGGTTCAGATTTTTACACCGTTTCATCTATATCTAGTAATGCGACTATCGTATACCGATGTTCAATTCTCGTAGGCAGGTACTAATGTTTCTTATATCTCCGATCAAGTATTAACACTGTTACATAAAAGGAATGCTGCAATATTTAACAGTTTGCATTCCCACTGCTAGAATGACGTATTTTGAATTCCCGCAAGTAGGTACAGATATGCCGTAATCAAGATTTTCATTTTAATGGGTGGAACAGCCGTTGTTCTAAACAATTTGTGATAATGATCTCTATTCTCAAGGTGGATGGTTAAAAACGCGTTACGACAACCTTACATACGTAAGCTATTGACAGTGTTAAAGACTTCGGTTGCTATACTACCGTGGCAATCATAAGTCGGAATTGGTAATCTTATTTTTTTGTTTGATTAAGTATTCAGAATGATATTGTTATACGAACGTCATAGCCCAAAAAAAATTCAGTATTAAATATTAAATTGAAGCTTTGCACCGATGTGATTGATTATTGAATCTTTATTGGAAGTCTGGTTTTTTCTGCCCTTACCCAAATTACAAGAGGTCAATCCCCTGCAAAATTTTAAGGTGAATATTTTGCGAATATTAATTCTCAAGTTAATAATTTTTCACTGGTGGTAGGACCTCTTGTGAGTCCGCGCGGGTAGGTACGACCGCCCTGCTTGTTTCTGCCGTGAAGCAGTAATGCGTTTCGGTTTGAAGGGTGGGGCAGCCGTTGTAACTATACTTGAGACCTTAGAACTTATATCTCAAGGTGGATGGCGCATTTACGTTGTAGATGTCTATGGGCTCCAGTAACCACTTAACACTAGGTGGGTTGTGAGCTCGTCCACCCATCTAAGCAATAAAAAAAACAAGTTAATAAACTGTGAGATTTCAAAACAAGCCCATTGTATTTCAATTGTTATTTGAACATAATAGCCGATAGTCCGGCTCAGTGGCGTAAATTAAGAGAGGCCTATATCCAGAAGTGGATGATGATGACGATGGTAATTTTCATATATTAGTAGACGGAGCTTAATGCAATGTTTATTTTAGTGATGTTCATAAGCATTATGGTTGTACCCTGCCTGTGTACTCAGAAAAAGTCGTGTTCCGGTTAGAAGAATGAGACATGGGTTGGGTCTTTAACCGTCTTAACGGTGGGCAGCATTCACGTTGTGATGTCTATGGGTTATATTGTTGTGACGTAACTAAAATTTAAGATATTAAAGATTAGCTTGCCTTGAACCCGACCTGGGTGGTCAAGTTCTTACTGGTGGTAGGACCTCTTGTGAGTCCGCGCGGGTGGGTACCACCACCCTGCCTATTTCTGCCGTGAAACAGTAATGCGTTTCGGTTTGAAGGGTGAGGCAGCCGTTGTAACTATACGTGAGACCTTAGAACTTATATCTCAAGGTGGGTGGCGCATTTACGTTGTGGATGTCTATGGGCTCCAATAACCACTTCACACCAGATGGCCTCTGAGCTCGTCCACCCATCTAAGCAATAAAAAAAAAAGTAAGACATTTTCTTAAACGACTTAGTCGTGTTGTTGAGGCCAAGAAAATCGTAAAATATCTTAAAGTGTAAAGAAAGAAAATTAGATTAATGTATACCTATGGGTTAAAATTTGTATGTCCAATTTAATTAAAATTATTGGTATTATATATAAATTGAAGTTTTAGAGTATTTTTCAAACTAGGCGTTTGCTTTTCAAAGTTGACTTGCGGTGGTATGTAGTGATATGCTCGGTTCTAGTTGTTCAGTGGAAATGCCCACACCTCACGTTATTTATGGCATTTTAGCTCTCCCGAGTTTCTGACTAGTGTGATTTCTTTAAGAACCAAACAGAGGGTTTGTACGCTTCTGTCCATATCCTATTTCCATGTACGTCATCCTTCATAGCTTACATCACGAAATTTTTTGTTTCATCAATAATTCCTATTCGAGCGTCAGAGGTAATTTCATGCAACTTTGTACCGGCTTTGTACGACTTTGACCAAGTGACGTTATCAATTGTTGGATAGCTTAATAAGATTTATTGCGTAAATACAATTGATGATATTACAGGCTTAATAAATAAGTTTAAATGATTCGTCCAAAGCGTTTATAAGCTTTATAAGCTCATAAGTAATAAGATAGAAACAGAATTATTCCTATTTCATAACGGCACCTGATCGCGACAATCTATGAAAGAAGAATCAGTCAGCTTAATATAAACTGTAATATCTCAAGATATTTGTGCAAATGAACCTTAGTAATAAAAATTGCATAAGTTGTTAGACCTCCGTCACAATTTTTTTTTTATTGCTTCGATGGTTGGGCGCCCTCGCAGCCCACCTGGTGTTAAGTGGTTACTGGAGCCCATAGACATCAATAACGTAAATGCGCCACCCACCTTGAGATATGAGTTCTAAGGTCTCAAGTATAGTTTTACAACGGCTGCCTCACCCTTCAAACCGAAACGCATTATTGCTTCATGGCAGAAATAGGCGGGTGGTGGTAGCTACCCGCGCGGGCTCACAAGAGGTCCTACCACCAGTAAAAAGTAATTTGATAGCCGCATTAAGATTTGGGGTCGTCACCTCAATTCTATCGGCTGTCCCAGACTTTATAACATGATCGGTTCCCGCTAAGTGAATACTTCTTCTGGTAACAGCCATTAATACTGATTGAGTTCGGGCCACTCTCTTTGCCTCAAAATATAACCAATTACTCACAAGTTAGAATTCAATAAGGCATCGCCCTATGCTGGTTGTGGAACTCGTACTCCTCATCTTCGGTTAGCGTGCATTCTTCGAAGCACCAGAGGCCAGCGATCGCGAGCAGTATTGTATAGCAGCTGTAGTAGACTAAGTAGACCAGTATACTGAACAACATCGCGTTTTCCACTGTATTCCTGTAACAATAAGAGTTAAAATCTTTTTTTTTTCTATTGCTTAGATAGTCGGACTAGCTAACGACCCATCGGCTACGGGAGCCCATCAAAAATCAAAAACGTAAATTCCGCCACCCATCTTAAGGCATGAGTTCTAAGTGTCAATTTTGCAATACAACGGCTGCCCCACCCTTCGAACCGAAATGCATTACTGCTACAATTCAGAAATAGGCAGGATGGTTGGTACCTACCCGTGCGGATTCACACCACCAATTACGCAAACTATAATTTTTGCGGGTCTGATTTCGTAATATACGATGCTATTGTGACGTCATCACTGTGACGACAAGTCATTCGTGAACATTTATTAAGTACGTATTTAATTAGAAAAATTGGCACCTGTCCGCGAGATTTGAACATCGGCACAGTTCGTTCGATACGAATGCACCGGGCGTCTTATCTTTTAGGCCACGATGACTTCAAGCTGAAATATTAATTTTTTATTGTAGTTTACATACATAAACAAGAGACAGAGTATACAAATCTTTGTGTTTGTCAAAAAAAACAGGAAATTTTGGTTGAATTAATACTATTATTATTATATTACATTATTAACAGAAAAAAAATTCAAAATGCGTATAAGAATGAGTATAAGAAAATAGTTATATTAGTTTCTATGAGATTGCTAAAGGATTATTGAAAACGTAGAGGTTATTGGGAAATGAAAAGGGATTATTTCAAATTCGTTAAGAAATTTTTATTTAATACAAATTAATTTAATTAATTAATTTAGACACACATTAAATCTCGTGATGGCTCAGAATCCTACAAAAAGATGCACACAATGCTTTATGACTTGACCGACGTTAAGAGTGGATGTGCGAGAGAGACAACGAGATGTTCCCACAGCTGTACTCTTCCTTTACTCAAAATTCAATGAACAATTCCTACGTTATTTTTAATGATAATTACGATACGGTTTGAACAAAAACTGTAACTTTAACTTTATCTAAAGATAATTGCTTTTGTGCATTCGAGTTAATTAAATTATGCAAAATAAATTTATTCTTATTTGACTGACACGGTGGGGCAGAAGTCAGTGTATCTGACCGCTTGGGGTTCAATACCCAATTGAAGTTTTTAAAATCCATGCTTTTAAATTGTTTTTATTGCTTAGTTTTGTGGACGGGTTCATGGTCTACCTGATGTTAAGATTACCGGAGCCCATAGACGTCTACAACGTAAATGCCGCCACCCACCTTGAGATATGAGTTATAAGGTCTCAGTATAGTTACAGCGGCTGCCCCACGCTTCAAACCGAAACGTATTACTGCTTCACGGCACAAGTAGGCAGGGTGGTGGTACCTACCCGTGCGCACTCACAACACTTCCTACCACCAGTAATTACGCAAATTATAATTTTGCGGGTTTGTATATATTTGAGTGTTATTTATATTGTCACTTTACAAAATCTAAATGAATTATTGTCATCATTATAGCCGCTGTCCAAGAAGTATTTGTGGTCAGTTGAGCTCACTAGTCGACTAGTAGGTACTTGTATTTTCCACCAGTAAGTAGCATTGAAACAGGTTCGTTCTTCGACATTACTCATCTATTGCACATCGATGACCTTTTTAGCGAATGTAATTCCGGTTTTGGAAGCCATTAACATTTATCTATTATTTATTAATGTTTTATATTCTAATTCATTATGTGCTTGAAAAAGAATAGTACAACATAGGTGTCTTTCCGCGAAGTTGTTGTGCCTTTTTTATTACCTATCCTGATAGCCTTCAGAGGCTATTTCAGCTTCACCTTGACATGTAGGTGAGCTCACGGGGCTCAAACCGGAGTGTTGCTAACACTGACCCTAGCAAGAGCAGTGCTTCGCAGAATCTATCACCTGATCGGAAACGCGACACATTGAGAAAATCCGGCGAGAAACTCAGTGGGCTGTGTCTGTGGGTTAATTCGCTGTGGGTTAAGTCGTGGGCTTGTCATGCCTAATGTCGACAGTAAGCTCGTTTATCCATATAACCCGCAAAAATCTTTCTAATTACTACTGTTGTTAAAAAATTTCACTGATCAAATATGTCGGTACATATATGCAAAAACAACTTTTTTTTTATTGCTTAGATGGGTAGACGAGGTCACAGCCCACCTGGTGTTAAGTGGTTACTGCAGCCCATAGGCATCTACGACGTAAATGCGCCACCCACCTTGAGATATAAGTTCTAACGACTACCCCACCCTTCAAACTGCTTTACGGCAGAAATAGGCTGGGTGGTGGTACCTACCCGTGCGGACTCACAAGAGGTCCTACCACCAGTAAAATGGTACATTATTAAACCACCAGTTTAATAGTATATTATTAAAGCGATAAATATTAGGGAATCCCTTATTTGGTAATCTATTCGGTTAACATGTAAACCGCTCTCTATTTTATATTAGTAATACCTATGTAATTAAAATCTGTACACATATCTTTCTTGGAACAATAATTACCATTTTATTATGTATTTTATTTACAGGACAAAAAAAGCAAAGCTTTGAGAATTTTGAGTTATTGTCGATTGTAATTTGCGCAGTTTTTGTTTTGTTTATAACGTCGCAGACGAGATCAATGCACCGGGTAATGAAATAAGCATGCTGGCGTTTTTTTAGGGAGTACAGTTAGAAAGTCGGAAAAAACTTTACATTTATTTCAGTCACTTGCGTCAGTCAGTTTACACACAGAAATCTAGGCAACATCTCTTATTGCAGTATTATTTTTTATGTGTTTTAATATATTGACTAATAACTTACATGCTTAATCCTAATGCAAAAAATGGTAGAAGGATTTGTTATGAAGTTACAACAATAGTTCGTCTGTCGAAGACCAGAAAAGGCCGGAAAAGCCGCGTGCTGTTAGAACTAAAAAGGCTGTTTATGCCGTTAAAGCCGAAAGAATTCGTCGAAAACTCATTAGTAAGCAAAAAACCTTATCATGCACAAAGTGGGAATGAGTTGCTCGCTCCGGGCATTTCAATATTGCAATAATTGTTACGTTATAATACTCATTGTAAAAATGTATATTTAAAAAAATTCTAATATTAAAAAAAATATATCTTATATTTAAAAAAAAAAAAGACATGCCCGCTGAGTTTCTTGCCAGTTCTTCTCAGGACGGAGGCTAGTTTTTGTGAATTGGCGGTAGTTCTTTTGACGTTCAACAAGTATGTACTTTCATTTATTTTTAATTTTTTATTTTATTTGAATTGATTTCATTTGATATCGCGAGAATTGAAGCTTTCTGCTAGAACTCTATCGCGTATTATAAAACAAGATATGAAACTCGGTGCTTATCGTCGATGTACAGGACATATTATTATATCAAAGAGGATATGTACATATCGACGCTTGGAAGGCAAACGTGACTAAGCGACAATGCGTGAACTTTACAGTAATACTTTACAGTATTACAGACTAATAATTTAAAGTTGAGTTTAATTTAAAATATACATGAGAAATACCTGAAAAAAAGTTTATTTTAACGAATCTAGCTGTAGGATTGAAATGATTTTAATAGACCTAGAAAATTTTTTTTTTGCGCGTCGAATATGGTTGTTGCCTATCATTTATGTATAAAGCAGTTATTGTCGCTTAGTCACGTTTGCCTTTCAAGCGTCGATATCCTCTTTACCGATGAAAAAAAATTCACGATTGTAGAACACTGCAATTGTAAAATGATAAAGTGTTCTAAAGAAGCTGCTCAAGTGATCGGAAAGGTACAACGTGGTCATCATCCTGCGTCAGTGATGGTTTGGTGGGCGTGTCTTATCAAGGAGTCACAGTACAGGAGTATCAGGGTCGCGTTTCCGTTCCAGTAGTAGATTTTGCGAAGCACTGCTCTTGCTAGGGCCAGTGTTAGCAACGCCTCTTGACTTGAGCCCCAAGAGCTCACCTACACGTTAGAGATACGCTGACATAGCCACTCAAGGCTATCAGCTTAGGTAGGGAAAAAAAAAGTTAGTTTAATAATTTAAATAAAGATTCTAGTATTCTAAAAGATGATTATACATAACACAGCACTTTTTATAGTGGTTCGAGTTGCATACGTTTTCGTTGAAGTGGTATCTATATATTAATACGTGAAGGAAAAACTTTGTATCACTTTTTACGAAAATTGCGTGGACGGAGGAGTATGGAATTTCTCACTCTTATAGAGAACTAGCGACCCGCCCTCGCTTCACTTCGGAAACATTAAAACAAACATGAAACCAAAAAAAAAATATAAAAATTTTTTTATAAAAAGTAGCCTATGTTCATCAGGGACAATGTCGGCTTCTAGTGGAAAAAGAATTTTTCAAATCGGTCCAGTAGTTTCGGAGCCTATTCGAAACAAACAAACAAACAAATCTTTCCTCTTTATAATATTAGTATAGATATAGAGAAGGAGTGCACAATGCTAATTTTTTTTTTAAATAATACATAAAAGATACTTTAAATCATTAAAGAAAACATAACACACACTACCATGTATTTGACACAACACTTACATAAAAACTAACTCTTTGCTTACTGTAAATTGGGAAACTTTTGTTATTGTTTACAGTCTGTGGTCGAATTGAAAATAGATTAATATTGTTGGTCTATAATATTGTTTATCTATAGTGCAGTTTTGGCGAATACTGTGATTATATTATCGAATTATAATAGTGTTTGACAATAGAACCATAATAATGTTTAAACTTATAATTTCAATTAATTATAGTCGAATTTCGACTACTGCGGGGCCACTAGTATTATTAAATTCGGGCGATAAGTTTATTTCATAGCCGGTTACGTGGCTCTAATAATCTCTAGAAACCGAACACGTGTAAACAACGTCTACAAATGTATTTTATTAGTGTTCATGCTAATAATCACAGCATTTAAATTCTAGATACGACACAAACTGATATATAATATCGATTATCAGCGACTAGTCATGTACTTACATCTGATATTTTTTATAAAAACCATGAATCGAACGAAAACAA